ATATCTATACACACACACACACACAGTATTTATATAAAGGTGTTTCAAACCCTTCCCACACGTAATATTCTAAACAAAGTTTCTAAACTCAACGCTCTAAAAAGAGCACAGCATGTCATGATTTCAGCTCTCTGCCTCCAGCCAGCGCTCTCAGCCACGCCCACGTCTCCACTGCAGAGTGTAGATCTGACATGCTGCAGGAGGAAGCTTCTCCTGCTAGCTATGGGCTGCACACAGCTGCTAAATAATGTAAAATAATTTATTTTAAATAAAAATCCCATGCCGATCATGCGGCTCATCCATTAATCAGCCAATTATGTGTCACGTCCAATTTTATTTTGAAAAACTGCGATAAGAGCGAGTCCGCAAAAAACGAACCGCGAAGTTGCGAGGGACTACTGTGCATCCACAGCAGCATGGTCCTATTAGCATTGAGGTCCTGTTAGCAGTGTAGTCCTCTTAGTGGCGTGGTCTTGTTAGCAGCATGATGATGATGATAATAACGACCGCTGCAACTGCTCTCCAGAACCGGGCCTGGCAGACACAGAACATCCAAAGTTTCCCTGCGGAGCTGAACTGGTCCATAGCGTTCAGTCCATGCAGGCAGATGGAGGATCATGGAGATGGCCGCCATGACAGGCTGGTGCCTGAGCCCGAGACTGGAAGGGGGCCGGGGACTGAACCACGATGGCAAGGCAGCGACACACAAAACTCCAAAAGTGCACCGCGGTCATACCCGTAGCGTGGGTGTGTAGTGTAGGAACAAAAAAGTTACAACAGGAACAAAAAAAGAGCGAGTCGAAACGGAACTCCCTCAGTGCAGCCATACTGTGATTTACGTTACGTCTTGGGAAAAAAAAAAAGCAAAAAGTCCTACAGTTATCAAGAGCGTCTAATACTCGAGTAAAGTTAGTGCTTAAAAATCTTTGTCAGACTATAAACAGGAGAAAAAGTATAAGGCATGAAAGAAATGGTTAATTCTAGGGATGCACGATATTGGATTTTTGGTCGATATCCGATATGTTAAAACTTATTTGGCCGATAATCGATGCCAATATTTTATATTCTTTCCTTTGTCAGAACATAGCCCTCTCTCTTATTTAGGGTTATTTGCTACAAAAATTATTCAGTAACAGCTGTAAGAGCTGGTGACATATATTCAGTAAGAGCCATATGATATGCATAGCATGCTAAATGTTATTTATTCGCATTAGTCACCTGTGATGCTGTCTCACTTGTGGAGCTTGTTCCAGGTTCCTAGCTGCAGTGTGGGATCCTCTGCACTCTTGTGCATGAAGGACAGACTTTTAAAGTTCAACGTTTTTGTCTATCCATTGTGCCGTAAGACTAATCATGCTAACGAGGCTAACACGACGTCCAAATATCTGTGGTAAAACTCACCCAAGTGCTATCAGCTATTAGCTTTTCAACGACGTCAGAAATGACTGCTTGTAACTCGGGTAACGTTACATCAGAAAAATATCTCCGACTGGGGACGATGTAGCGAGGCCCAATGTAGTCCATAAATCTTCGGAATCAGACATCCTCACCAACGAAAAATAAAACTTCCGCACTGCTGAAATTTTGAATTTTCCTCTCCGCCGTGAGATCAGGTAGGCACGCGTGACGTCATCACGTTGTGCTGGCGCTGCAGGCAAAAACAGTGCCTTTTATTTTGGTGAGTTATTTTAATGGGATGGCCAATGTCCAATATTGAACTTTAACGCTAATATCGGCCGATACTATGCCGATAATATCGTGCATCCCTAGTTAATTCGTGTAAATCTTGAAATCTAAACTAAAATTATCTGTTTCTCGGCGTTATTGTGCAACTTCCTGATGGTTGCCTGCACTTCTCTGTGACCTGTAGGAGAAAAGTACGAGCTGCACACCGCCACACCAACTACACCGAGCGTGGTCATCCACGTGTGCGAGGATGAGCGTGGCGCTGGCGACAGCTCGGCACCCGACGACAGCGACCAAGACGAGAAGCCCCGCCCCTCGCGGGCGAAGATTGTCCAGACTCGACGCCCCGACTACACCCCCGGCGTGGAGCAGTGAACGGGGAATAACGAGGCGACGCTTCGTGGCAACCTGAAGTGTTTGATCAAGAAATATTCCGAGATGGTTTGAAGATTTTGTTAAGCTATCCGAGGATGCTAGGATGTCCCGTCGATGACGGAAACAGGAAACAAAGCGCTGGATGATGTATTCATGTCCTGTGGAAAACGCAACTAACCACTGGAAGAAACCGATAATATTTAGTGTTTGTGACCTCAAAGTTTTGAGAGTAGTATTTATATGTACATGTTCAAGCTAACTTTTTAAATCCAATGTTCATCCTAAAGTAAAGATATTCATTTTGAGGATACTTAGAAAACTGACCAGGTTCACTGAGAAACAGGGTACTGTATAAGCAACACGTTCAGATTTGTTATTTTATTTTCCTACATGACATGAATGCACCATCAGACGGATGACTACTGTGTGAATTAACACAATTGGAAAGAGTACTTTTAAAATGTTAGCCATAACACAGCTGTTACTATTTATTTCGGTGCTACACATGAACACGTGTAGAGGCTGATGAGCTCCATGCAAAACCCTGATGCTTTATATCCTCCATGCTGATTGCACCTCTTCAGCACAGCCTGATGTGTCGGCATCTATCATCTCAGGCTTACGCTAAAACATAAGGAAGGGACGCATTTATGACGCTCATGCCATAATAAAGTCAAGAAAAACCAAGTCCACACACTTTAATGTATCAGGACTAAATATTTTTTCCATTTGTTTATACCATTTTCTAAAAAATATTCAAATCTAACCTCAAGTGTACAAATACATCAGCAATGACCTTAGAGAAGCAACTGTTGCTACCTATCAGTCTGGGAAGGGTTAAAGTTCTTTGCTGAACAAATTGGGAGTGCATCGTTCTACAGAGAGTAAGATTTTTACAAGTGGACAACATTTTAAGACGGCTGCCAATCTTCCCAGAAGTGGACAACCCCGCAAATTCATTCCAAAGTGAAGGACAAGCAAAACAGCAGTGTCTCATACCAACTAGAGCTACAAGTGTCTGGAAACTTCCTTGAAGCTTTCCGTGGAAAGTTAGGCCAAGGAATTTTGGAAATATTCAAAATGGAAACTTTTCATAGGAACCATTGAAAGAAATGGGGATAATTTAGACACAAGATCATATATAAAACAGAAAACTTATGCCATAGGCAAATAAGATAGACCCACAGTTTTTAAAGGACAATTTGCTTATGACCACATCACTGTGTTGCAACGATCAACCTATAGCGAACAATGGATTTTAACATTTCTGGGCATGTCCAACTGGGAGGAGACCCCAGGGAGAACCCAGGACATGCTGAAGAGACTGTGTCTCTTAGCTGGCCTGGGAACACCTTTGAATCCTTCCAGAAGTGCTGGAAGAGGTGGCTGTGTCTTCCTGCTCATTTTGCCGCCCCACCGCGACCGACTCCACAACAAGCTACAGATAATGGATGGAAATTCCTGTTAATTCCCATAAAAAGTTTTCAAATTGAAAAATTCACAGAATTTCTCAAGTATCAGCTGGAGCCCGGCCAGTATGGAAATTTTGGCTATCTCCGAAACCCGTATTGGAAAGGGAAGGCCAATGCAGATACCTAATACTAACCAATAACCCATACTGGTTGAAAAATGTTGAGCTTTGTCCACCCCTAAGAATCTAAGAAAACTGCTACTTTTAAACCCGTTTTAAGTCTTGAAACAGTTTTCCTAACTTGCATTCACATTTTCTATCCACTATTCACAATAAAGTTATCAAGCATGTTACAAAAATATAAATTAAACAAAGAAATGCCCTTCCCTGTTCATTGTATAGTAACGGTATAATTAATATTGAACGCAGCAGCATTTTTATTTTACTTTTCTTTTCTAGCTAATGGCAAGCGAGTTGGAGGATTGAAAAACATTTTATTTTTTTTTTTTTTTTTATTTTACAGATCAATTACAATAAACTCACCATGCTCTGTTCAGCAAAATACTCAACGCAGTATTGCTACCTGCTTCGGCTGTGCTGAAAGTGAACGCTAAAGTTCATGGCTATGACTTGAAAGTAGTCCAAATGCGCCCTCTGCTGGATACATGGTTCAATTATGCATTTCGCAAGTAAAGACACTGCTAGTTTCCAGCATTTTAGGGGTGACAATTAAGACTCCAATATACTCACACGTCCTGTCAGCCGCGCAGAAACTGTGCGCACTGTCCGCAGAGGGTTGAGACTTCATGCTTGAGCGTCCACCCTGAGCAGTTGCAGAGCAGCTCCGCAGACAAGGGGCGTTTACCTTCGGGACAAATTGAGGTCACCGATTGGTCATTTGCCGACACGCTTACTGGATTTATTGACAGGTCACAAAAAAACCAACAACAAAAAAAAAGCTGGCAGCCGCAGCGGTGTTCTGTGTTTATATGTTGTTAATAAAAAGTTCTAAAAATAAAATAAAAACGGAGCGCTGGCCCTGCAGCCCACACATCAGACCAGCCCACTGGAAAATCTCCAGACCCTCCCATAGCCACGCTGGACCTGATTGTAATTAGCTTGTGACAAATTCCTTAATTTCTCACCATTTCAGTCATGGCATCAACAGAGGAGGAAGAGATCGCTTGCCTTTTGGCAACAAACAAAAGAAAAGGCCAAATCAGGGATGAAGAAGGGGAATTTAATACATTGGTGTTGTGTACAAAACAGTCCATGGCCGGGCAGTTTATTGTGCTACACAGAGTACGCGTACACGGTCGTAAAAATTGAACTTTGCGCGGACATGCCCTGTGGGCGTCCACTTCTACTCTAATCCAGTATGTGCGGACTGATGTACGTGTGAGTATACTGGGGACCTTAGAAGTGTTTGTATCGTGTATAATGGGACAATTATCACCGATACCGATATGTCCCCAAACGTCTATATCGGCCCCAAATATCGACCCCTACCAATATATCGGTCGGGCTCTAGGAATGATGGGCTTATTTTGCATTCACAAGACCTTGGCACTTTGCAGTCAGAGTCAAACATGAACTCCTCTGGATACCAGAACATTCTTTAGACCTATTGAAACAAACTTAGTCATGACGCATCAGAACAATGATCCTAAACTCAACAGATAATTACATCAAAGCGGCTGAGAATAGAAAAGAATCAAGGTTCAAATCAGTGGTGTAGTTTACGATTTTGTAGTGGGTATGCTGTGCTTAGAAACCAAAGTACACTGGTTAGTACAATGTAATCGTCAATTTATTTAGAGTTTTAAGCATATTGAACATTTCCAAATTTCTCTGATGGTTATATTTGAATAAATGTACAACAATCTTTGTACAACAGTTAGCTTTATATTAAAAACATGTTATAGAATTTATAAAACTGTATCAAAGCAAAATATGTTCAAGTGTTAAGTAGTAAGTACAGAAGTATACAATAATTTGCTGGATAAGCGTAAGTAATAATAAACTAGCGCTGCATACCGATAGATTGTTACAGAAGCGTTTAACTGCCGTTTAACATATCAATGACATGTTCCTAATAATATGTTGCATCAGTGGGCACTTTTAAGTGGGTACACTGAAATTCTTGAGCTTTTCTAGTGGTTATACTCCGTATACCCGCGTATTGCGTAGACTACACTCGTTCATAATGGTCCAGTCAAAGTCCAGACCTCAGTTTGATTGAAATGCTGTTGATGGGACCTTCAGAGAGTTGAGCAGAAGCATGTTGGCTAACAATGAACTGAAGCTACGCTGTAAAGAAGAGTGGTCCAAAAATCCGTCACAACTATGCGAGACTCAAAATCCTACAGAAAACCACTGCTGGGAGTTCTTGCCGCAAAAACTGGTTGTACAATCTGGTGGGAGATTGAGTGGATTCTGACATTGTTTTGGTTTAATAACGGTGGAATCTGTTGTTCACTTGAGGCTAGTTTGAATCATTTTAGAACCTAATAAAGACACAAAGTGAAACTTGAAGTCCCAGCATGTTTCAGTTCCTGTAAGGAAATCCAAGAGGGACTTGTCTCTTTCAAGTTGTATGTGGGTTGTGTAGTTCTGTCAGCTACGTATTTGAGCAGATGTCTGTGTTTAAAAAAAAAAAACAAGTCCATTTGAATGACTTTAATTCAATCAATGACTCAGGGCTCTGGTAAGGCTGTTCTGTCATCCTGTGTGACGCCAGTGTTTCTATCAATGTTCTCTGTATCTTGTGTCGTCTGTTTAAATCTGACAACAGAAAGCATTTATTTGCACAGACATTAACTGTGGGTGTGCTAGCCAGCGCAGCTTATGTATTTCAAGTCTTTATTTAAAGCTTTTAAACAACGTGTAGATTGTACATAATACACTTACTGGCTTGAAAAACATTGGGAATTAGCGATTCACGATAGGTCAACGAGTGCTGCCGTGTATACAGGCGGTATTCTCTCATTTTGACATGTTGCTAAATGTGCTGGCTAATTGGAAGAGTTCGCCATGTCGGTTATTATCTCTACCGGTATCCATGCTCGTGTTTGAGCTGCCTAATAGGACTGGCTGAGTTTTCCGTCTTCAGACCGATGACAGTGTTTGGTGTTAGAAGCCATCACATTAACTGACATGTCTACGGTCATACCTTTGGAGGACGCAGAAAGCTCCAAATGTTAGGCTAACTTTTTTTTTCGTCATTCTAGTGAATTTATTAAAAAAAAAAAAAAAAAAGATTGATACTGTAAGTGACTTACTATTAAATTAATCACTGAACTTTAAATTAAATTGTGTCTTTGTCATTTCAATTTCAATTGATGTGAAAACTACTGTAGGTTATGAGCGGGCAAGCACCTTCGCAAGAAATAAAACCCAGAAGACCTGAGATGTGGATTATAACCAAAACAATGGGCTAGGCCTGAAAAAGACATCGCTTTAGGTAAAAAACTTGAAAATAATATTGCGTACAATCTCATGGGATATTGCGATATTTAGGCCTTTCGCGATAAACAATAAATCGCATGATAAATGAAAATATCATTTTCATTTATCCGCTTTATCGTTTCTTCGTGGCTCTTTCTACTGAAGACACTGGATGACAAAAGGCTCAACTCCGGTGCTCGTCACTGACCTCTTCCTTTCTCTTTAAAATCTGTTTTAACCGTCCAAAATCGCATTCTTGGATCGTTAAAAGCAGCTAAGCTAACAGGCCGACCTCGGGGGGGGAAAAACCTCCATCTTGTCGAAGTTCCAAAATTCACGGTTGAAACCTGTGCCTTTGTGTAAAAAGTAGTTTTTCTCTGCAAAAAGAAGCTGAGAACTTGTTTACTGATTTTTTTTTATTAAAAAGCTTTGTGTGAAAAATGCTATGCTAAAGAGCTACAACCACACAGACTGTCCGCCATTTGAGGAACCAAAAAAATGAAAGAGACAGCCCATGTCATGTCAAGGGGCCTCCCTCCCATTTTTCTTAAAAGTGTCGTGCTGCTCGCTCCCTCACTATCCATCATTTGATTCAAACAGTCGTATACTGCCATCTGGTGGTCAAAAAAGGTACTACACACAAATCAACATTCCTTAAATTTGACAATTACTAATTATTGTCAAATTTCTAACAATATTATTGTTTATTGCAATAATTTCTGAGACAATCGCCCAGCAAAATTTATTATCGTGACAGGCCTAGATGTTACACACTCTGTTGGCACGTTGAGTGTGTTGTGACTGACAGATACCATCACTAATATTAAATCAATTTTTATGAAAAGTGGGGAATAGCCATTTTTGTGTTAGTGAATGTTGATGAGCTGCGGTGGCCATCTTGAAGTGGGGACCCAGTTGAAGGTGTATGCACCTTTAACGGCAGGCGATAAAATAAAACAGGAGATTTGGAATTTATCAGAAGACATTATGGAGTCTCGACCAAACGTGAAAGAAGATGCTTTTGTTGGTGCTAAGTTGGTCTCTTTGGAACGCCCCGACCAACTTAGCACCAACATAACTGGTTTGTTCCACTTTGGAGTAAGCTGTTGGGGGAAGAATCAGTTTTGTTGTGCGTTTCCTTGACTGATGAAGCTTTCCGGATCGAAGGCAAAACGTTTCAGCACAAAAAAAGAAACTGTCCAGATGACCTGACTGAAAAATGTTGGATTGTATACCTGGATTATTGAGCATGGACTTTGTTGAAATGTGACATTGTTTAATTTACATTCTTTGACTGCTTACTCTTCTAATTGTAAGTTGATTACACCTATTACGCAAACCAGAAACAAAAAAATTAAACCCAAAATATAGCTTTAAATTTTTTTATTGAGATTTTGTAACTTTTAAATGAGTCATATTCATTTTCAAGTAAAACATGACAAGAGGGAAAAGAATACTGTTCGACTATAGTACATACAATAAATATAAATAAACGTATGATGCGGAATCCACAACTCCGTCTTTTGTTCGTTGAAAAATTATTATTGGATAATGAATCAACATAACAGATGCAAAATGGATATAAAAATCTTGGAACCATATAAAGTTGTGAGGTAATGGGACTATCTTCCATATGTTAGAAATAAATTAACCAATTCCCTTTCACAGCTGTGAAGACCTCCACTTCACCTCCAACCCGAAGTCTCCATGTTGTTTTACCATTGATAAAGTCCATTTAGTTTGATGATCAGTTCAGCAGAATATGTCCTTAATTGATTTAAGATTTTCTGATTGTGGTTCAGGGCTGACAGAGAAATGCAGAAGAATTATATTTAACTCCATACCCAAACCCAGGGTAAAGAGTTTGAGTGAACGTGGCATTAAAGGTGTGGAGGTGGACCAGTGAGTCGGAGGAGACGCTGTAGAAGGACAGGATGCCAGCAGGACAGTCCACATACACTGCTACTCTGGTAGAGACAGAGGCGGCGGCAGGAAGAGCAATGAGTGTCCCGCTGTTGTTGTGCCAAGCGTTGTATCCCCTGTCAGTACAGGCCAGACACCAGGACTGGTCATTCCCTCCAAACTTGGAACCATCGCTGTCTCCATTCCTCCCAATTCCCCTGTAGCTCACTGCGATGTAAACTTTCCCAACCCATTCCACCTCCCAGTAACAACGACCAGCCAGGCCGTTTTCACACAGCACCTGAGGCCAGTAATCAAATCTGTCTGGATGATCAGGGTACGGGTGCTCCTTTCTCAGGTCGGTCACCTTTTTGTTGTGTTCAGACAGTTTGAGGAACTTGTGAGCTGTGTTTGGGTCCAAAGCGAGTTCACAGAAATCTGACGAGACATCGCGGAACAATTTCATCAAACGTTTGTCTCGTCATGTGGGTTATTTTAAATCTGGAATTTCTATTTTTAACATAAGTGTGAATGAGAACACATACTTACATTTCCTCAAACTTGGCGTCAGCCATTGGGCTGCACCAGCGTCCGCTCTGGAAAAACAAGATTGACACAACGGTAAGAAGACACCGTAAAAATCAAGTTGCAAAACAGGAATGGCTGTTCTAGCATGTTCATAAGAAATCCTGAGAAATCCCAAAAGGTGCCAACTGGAGAACCGCAACTCAACAGGTCTATAAAAGTACACAAAAAAGGGTGGAGCTTATCCATTGTAGCTTTGTACATAAGACTATACCAGCCTGTTGTCTTCTTAGGCTTAAAGAAGACCAAGAAAATAGACTGTAAAGTAAACAATGTGTTCTATACAAGACATTTGTTGTGAAACCTAAAAAATGGACACACTGAATTTAAATAATGAAGTGCAGGCGGTCAAGAACGTACAGGTCCTTCTAAAAAAATTAGCATATTGTGATAAAGGTCATTATTTTCCATAATGTAATGATAAAAATGAAACTTTCATATATTTCAGATTCGTTGCACACCAACTGAAATATTTCAGGTCTTTAATTGTTTTAATACTGATGATTATGGCATACAGCTCATGAAAACCCAAAATGCCTGTCCCAAAAAATTAGCATATTTCATCCCACCAATGAAAGACAAGTGTTTTTAATACAAAAAACGCCAACCTTCAAATAATCATGTTCAGTTATGCACTCAATACTTGGTCAGGAATCCTTTTGCATGAATGACTGCTTCAATGCGGCGTGGCATGGAGGCAATCAGCCTGTGGCACTGCTGAGGTGTTATGGAGGCCCAGGATGCTTCGATTGCAGCCTTAAGCTCATCCAGAGTGTTGGGTCTTGCGTCTCTCAACTTTCTCTTCACAATATCCCACAGGTTCTCTATGGGGTTCAGGTCAGGAGAGTTGGCAGGCCAATTGAGCACAGTAATACCATGGTCAGTAAACCATTTACCACTGGTTTTGGCACTGTGAGCAGGTGCCAGGTCGTGCTGAAAAATGAAATCTTCATCTCCATAAAGCTTTTCAGCAGATGGAAGCATGAAGTGCTCCAAAATCTCCTGATAGCTAGCTGCACTGACCCTGCGCTTGATAAAACACAGTGGACCAACACCAGCAGCTGACATGACACCCCAGACCATCACTGACTGTGGGTGCTTCACACTGGACTTATGGCATTTTGGCATTTCCTTCTCCCCAGTCTTCCTCCAGACTCTGGCACCTTGATTTCCGAATGACATGCAAAATTTGCTTTCATCCGAAAAAAGTACTTTGGACCACTGAGCAACAGTCCAGTGCTGCTTCTCTGTAGCCCAGGTCAGGCGTTTCTGCCGCTGTTTCTGGTTCAAGAGTGGCTTGACCTGGGGAATGCGGCACCTGTAGCCCATTTCCTGCACACGCCTGTGCACGGTGGCTCTGGATGTTTCTACTCCAGACTCAGTCCACCGCTTCCGCAGGTCCCCCAAGGTCTGGAATCGGCCCTTCTCCACAATCCTCCTCAGGGTCCGGTCACCTCTTCTTGTTGTGCAGCGTTTTCTGCCACATTTTTCCCTTCCCACAGACTTCCCACTGAGGTGCCTTGATACAGCACTCTGGGAACAGCCTATTCGTTCAGCAATTTCTTTCTGTGTCTTACCCTCTTGCTTGAGGGTGTCAATGATGGCCTTCTGGACAGCAGTCAGGTCGGCAGTCTTACCCATGATTGCGGTTTTGAGTAATGAACAAGGCTGGGAGTTTTTAAAAGCCTCAGGAATCTTTTGCAGGTGTTTAGAGTTACGTCGTTGATTCAGATGGTTAGGTTAATATCTTGTTTAGAGAACCTTTTCATGATGTACTAATTCTTTGGGACGGGCATTTTGGGTTTTCATGAGCTGTATGCCATAATCATAAGTATTAAAACAATTAAAGACCTGAAATATTTCAGTTGGTGTGCAATGAATCTGAAATATATGAAAGTTTCATTTTTATCATTACATTATGGAAAATTATGACCTTTATCACAATATGCTAATTTTTTGAGAAGGACCTGTATACAGGAATTTGTTTTTTTGTTGTTGTTTTTCTCATTTTAACTATATGATGCACGGTCACCTGAGATTGCTGAGTTTCCAGTGAGGAGTCTCCAAACCAGTTGACAGCAGCTTTACTCCAGAGTCTCCTGGATGATTGTAGCTCAGGTCCAGCTCTCTCAGATGGGACGGATTAGACCTCAGAGCTGAAGCCAGAGAAGCACAGCCTTCCTCAGTGATCAGGCAGCCTGACAGCCTGCACACCCATAAAACAGAGTTACATAAAACTAGAATTTGTACTGTATCTAGATGTCATACTTAAATGTATATATATAATCCAAACTGACCTGTGTAGTGCACATGTGGTAACAATTTAGTGTTAAGTCACGCTGCCCCTATATGTGATACGACCTTCCAGTTACGATGAGACTGGTGGTATTGTGTCTTACTTATAAGCTTTGCTCAAACGAGCTGGCAGTCAGAGGTCAAACAGATTCTACTAACTGGATCCGTCTCATTCATGGGATGTTCTGCTTAACATTTCTTTAGAAATAAAAGTAAAAAAAAAAAACAAGCTGGGTCTTCCTGTCCACCCTAGCCTTTTGCCACAACACTGCTCATATGTTTACATTTCTTATTGGTTTACAAATAGTCAAAAAATAAATAATGCCGTTATGTTCCACACTAATACACGGTCAAGTCGAGATCTGTTGCAAAGTTGTATTGTGAAGGAGCGGGTTGGTCAGGTCCTCAGGGCGCTGCGTCCTTCATATTTTACTGACGTTACTTTTGACAGCTTTGTTATTAATGAGGAATAAATAAGCACCTAAGTATGAAGTCTTTAACTCAAAGGGGCAACCTGAGAAAGACGTCAAAGTTAAAGAAGAAATGACTTTTTAGGTCTAGTATTCAAGTATGTTCCTCGTTTGTGGGTTTCAGACCAAAACAGGCTCTGGTTTAAAAATAATTCCCGCACACTTGATTTTAAGCCACAAAAATGATAAATAAAGCGTAAGGCCTTTCATTCTTTGGACAAAATTATCTTAATAATAGAATCATTTTCAGCTTCTGTGATACTGAACTTAAGCCAACTATCTGTGACAATGATAGAGTCATAAGCCTTTTTATGTTGGCTGTGGCAGCCATCTTGAACTGGGACAAGTCATAAGGGTGTTCCTTTGTTTTTTTTGTACATCTAATGAATATTTTCTGAAAGTTTTATTAAGATCTGTCTGATTTATAAGATGTTAACCTGGAAGACAAACATACACTGAAGGACACAGGTTTTCCATCTTTCATGGTGGCAGGTGAAAACAAATACAAAATGATCTGAAAGACGAGATCTTACCAGAGTGTTTCCAGTTTACAATGTGGACTTTCCAGTCCCGCAGACAGTTGCTTCACTCCTGAATCTTGTAGGTCATTGTTACAGAGGTCCAGCTGTTTTAGATTAGAAGACTGTGAGCAAAGAACTGAGGACAGAGCTTCACAGCTTCTCAATGAAAGATTACATCCACTCAGCCTGGAAAACAAAATAAAAAAAAATTATATGAATAGCAACATGTTGAGTAATCATCTAAGGATTATAAATACGAAAATTCCAATAAAGGAACTAAATTGTGCCAATTGTAAATAATTAGGCTAGTAACCATTTAAAAGTATATATTGCAAAACAATGTCAACTTTTGTTTAAAAAAAAAAATCAAACCTCTTATGAAGTAAAAATTGATTAAATGGTGTACATTTATACACAATACATATACCCTCTCTCAATTAGGACATAATAAAGAAGATTTTTGTAAGGCTCAAAAGTTGTTTCATTAAGTGAAAAAGAAAAAACAGGCCACAGATTTCATTACAGGGTTTACAGCGATTAATTAATTGACGCCCAGCAAAATTTGTTATTGTGACGGGCCTAACTCCAGTTTCCTCCCACAGATCAAAAACATGCATGTTAGGCTGATTGGTAACTCTAAATTGTCCCTAGGTGTGAGAGAGAGACTGAATGGTTGTCTCGTTTGTCTCTATGTGGCCCTGTGATGGGACTTGCGACCTGTCCAAGGTGTCCACCGCCTCTCGCACAGGGATTGCTGGACATGGGCACCGGCGACCGTGACCCAAAACGGAAGAAGCGGGTAAAATGGATGCATTAATGGTCACAGAAATTATTGCGATAAACAATAATATTGTTTGAAATTTGAGAATAATTAGTAATTAGTGTCAATTTTTTTAAAAAGTTGGTTAATTTATTTTGTGTGTAGTACATTTTTTGACCACCTGATGGCAGTATAAGACTGTTTAAACCAAAGGATGGAAAGTGAGGGAGCAAGCAGTGTTCCACTTTAAGAAAAAAGGGAGGGAGGCCCCTTGACGTGACATGGGCTGTCTCTCGTTCCTGTTTTTCGGTTCTCAAAATGGTGGATGCGCGGTGTGGTTTGAGCCCTTTAGCATAGCATTTTTCACACAAAGCTTTTAATTAAAAAAAATTAGTAAACAAGTTCTCAGCTTCTTTTTGCAGAGAAAAACAACTTTTTACATGAAGGCACGGGTTTCAACCGTGAATTTTGGAGCTTTGACAAGACAGTTTTTTTTTCCCGGGATCAGCCTATTAGCTTAGCTTCTCAGCTTAGCTGCTTTTAACAATCCAAAGATGCAATTTTGGACGGGTAAAACAGATTTTAAAGAGACAAGAGAAAGGGAGGGGTCAGTGAAGAGCACCGGAGTTGAGCCTTTTGTCATCCAGTGTCTTCAGAAGAAAAAGACACAAAGAAACGATAAAGCCGATAAATGAAAATGAGGTCGATAATTTTCATTTATCATGCGATTCATTGATTTATTGTTTATAGCGACAGGCCTAACCGGAGTACCCGGAGAAAACCCATGTATCTATGAAGAGAACTTGCAAACTCTACCCAGAAAGGCCATTGGCCGGGATTTGATCCGAGGACCCTCTTGCTGAGAGGCAGCAGCTCTACCAACCGGACCACTGTGCCTTGGAGAAAACAAAGCTCTACAAATCAGCAGAACAAACACGTCGTACCAACTGTTAAGCACAGTGGCATAGGGCTAATGATTTGTGTGGTTCTGCAGCCAAAGGATCTGGATCCGTTGCAGTCACTGAGTTGACTATGCACGCTTCTGTAGACCAAAGGATTTTAGAGTCAAATGTGAGGCCATCTGTCCAACAGATGAAGCTTGGACCAATATGGGTCATGATGCAATCAAACAATAATCCCAAACACAGCAGCTAATCTACAACAGAACGGCTAAAAAAGTAAAGAATCAAGGTCTTGCAAAAGTCCAGTCCAAGTCCAGATCTCAACCTGATTGACATGTTGTGGCAGGACTTTAAGAAAGATGAGCAAAAAATAAAGTCTGCAAACCTCAATAAGCTGAAGTAATGTTGGAAAGAAAAGTAGACCCAAAAACCCCCAAAACCATGTAAGAAACTGACAAAGTCCCAAACCACTAGTGAGAGTGTGAGTGAATAAGGCCAGGCTGATTCTGGCAGATCCTGAGCATCACTCCATGGTGAGTTCAGGTTGCTTCCATCTGGACACCGGTATCTGCTGCCCAGACGTTGGACAAACAGACTGAAAAACACATTAATCCCTGTAATGATAAGGCTTCTCAGTAACGTGTCGATGTCTTGTCTAGTATGGATGTTTGGTGCAACTACTGACTGTGACACAAACTGTCCCTTAGAGATAATAAAGATTCTTGAACTTGAGAGTTCTTGCTGGTAATGGAGGTTCTTATAAGCTGCTGGGTTGTACAGAGGACTGTTTTTCACAAACAGCTGTTCCAGTTCTATCAATCTATCCATCCATTATCTTTTACCCGCTTCTTCCATTTTGGGTCACAGGGGTCACCGGTGCCCATGTCCAGCAAGGGTGTGAGGGGCGGGGTACACCCTGGACAGGTCGCAAGTCCTTCACAGGGCCACATAGAGACAAACGAGACAAACAACCATTCACTCTCATTCACACCTAGGGACAGTTTAGAGTTACCAATCAGCCTAACATGCATGTTTTTGGTCTGTGGGAGGAAACTGGAGTGCCCGGAGAAAACCCATGCATGCACGGAGAGAACATGCAAACTCCACCCAGAAAGGCACCCGGACAGGGATTTGAACCGGGGACCTGCTCGCTGAGAGGCAGCAGTTCTACCAGTTGCGCCACCGTGCTGCCTGCTTTTCCAATTCATACATTCATTTTTGATCAGTAAAAAATAAAATTGTAGAATCAGTGATGTTTTATTCACTTGAGGTAAGAGTTGAATCATGTAAGGACCTGATAAAGACAAAATCACTTTTATTGTCCTGAAACATAAAACGTTAGAACTGAAGCTTTTCACACGACTGTGAATCATCTGAGATTGAACTATTCCCATTGCTAAATTCATTTGTTTACATCCTTATGACCCATTGTTTTAACCACATTATTTTTTAGAATACAACTATTTTTGTGGGAAGTCACTTAATAAAATATCTTACAGAGCTTTCTTGGAAGCTTTGACCACTGGCAGCAACCTCAGTAGAGCCTCCTCCGAAGCAGAATATTTCTTAAGGTCAAACACATCCAGATCTTTTTCTGACGTCAGTAAGATGAAGGCCAGAGCTGACCACTGAGCAGGAGACAGTTTATCTGTGGAGAGACTTCCTGATCTCAGAGACTGTTGGATCTCCTCCACTAGAGAACCATCATTCAGTTCATTCAGACAGTGGAACAGATTGATGCTTTTCTCTGCAGACAGATTCTCATTGATCCTCTCCTTGATGCACTGGACTGTTTCCTGATTGGTCTGTGAGCTACTTCCTGTCTGTGTCAGCAGGCCTCGTAGAAGAGTCTGATTGGTCTGCAGTGAAAGACCCAGGAGGAACCGGAGGAACAAGTCCAGGTGTCCATTTGGACTCTGTAAAGCCTTGTCTACAGCAGACTCATAAAACGTTATAGCTGATTCGTTACCTCTTTTTTCAAATCTCTGAGAGGTTGATATTTGTTCTTTGAACAAATTTACACCAGAATCTGTGCGAATAGAATGGACATGAAGAGCAGCCAGAAACTCCTGAACACTCAGATGGACGAAGCAGAACACCTTGTCCTGGTACAGGCCTCTCTCCTCTTTAAAGATCTGTGTGAACACTCCTGAGTACACTGAGGCTGCTCTGATATCGATGCCACACTCTGTCAGGTCTGATTCATAGAAGATCAGGTTTCCTTTCTGCAGCTGCTCAAAAGCCACTTTTCCCAGAGACTCAATCATCTTCCTGCTCTCTGGACTCCAGAGTGGATCTGTCTCAGCTCCTCCATCATACTTGACCTTCTTGACTTTGGTGTGAACCAGCAGGAAGTGGATGTACATCTCAGTCAGGGTGTTGGGCAGCTCTCCTCCCTCTCTGCTTTTCAACACGTCCTCCAGAACTGTAGCAGTGATCCAGCAGAAGACTGGGATGTGGCACATGATGTGGAGGCTTCGTGATGTCTTGATGTGGGAGATGATCCTGCTGGCCTGCTCTTCATCTCTGAACCTCTTCCTGAAGTACTCCTCCTTCTGTGGGTCAGTGAAGCCTCTGACCTCTGTCACCATGCCAACACACTCAGCAGGGATCTGATTGGCTGCTGCAGGTCGTGTGGTTATCCAGAGGCGAGCAGAGGGAAGCAGTTTCCCCCTGATGAGGTTTGTCAGCAGCACATCCACTGAGGTGGACTCTGTAACATCAGTCAGGATCTGATTGTTGTGGAAGTCCAGAGGAAGTCGACACTCATCCAGACCATCAAAGATGAACACAAGCTGGAAGTCTTCAAAGCTGCACATTTCTTTGGTTTCAGTAAAGAAGTGATGAACAAGTTCCACCAAGCTGAACTTCTTCTCTTTCAGCACGTTCAGCTCTCTGAAAGTGAATGGAAACATGAAGTGGATGTCCTGGTTGGCTTTGTCTTCAGCCCAGTCCAGAGTGAACTTCTGTGTTAAGACTGTTTTCCCAATGCCAGCCACTCCCTTTGTCATCACTGTTCTGACTGGTTCATGTCTTCCAGGTGAGAGTTTAAAGATGTCTTCTTGTCTGATGGCTGTTTCTGGTGTGTGTGGTTTCCTGGATGCTGTTTCAATCTGTCTGACCTCATGTTCATCATTGACCTCTCCAGTCCCTCCCTCTGTGATGTAGAGCTCTGTGTAGATCTGATTCAGAAGGGTTGGGTTTCCTGCTTTAGCAATCCCCTCAAACACACACTGGAACCTCTTCTTCAAGTTTTGTTTAAGACTATGCTGAGACATGGAAGGAGATCCTGTAATAGAAAAATACATTAGTTAAAGAAATTCTTACAGAGAATTCTTACCTAAGACAAAGAAGGGCCACATTGTTGGACCTGTGTAAGACATTCAACACTAACAAGATGATGTAACCAGAGTACCCCACGAAAACCCACGCATGCACAGACAAAACATGCAAACTCCACCCAAAATGGCCCCTGGCTGGGATTCGATCCAGCAACCTTCTCACTGAGAGGCAGCAGCTCTAACAACTGCACCACCGTGCCACCTGGCAAAATTATTATTTTGATTTTTATAAAGTTTTCTCCTTTACAAAGATTTGACTGTCTCCAATTTTATTGTTTATTTCAGTGGGGAGACAGAATCTCAACTACAAATTTAGAAAAAATAAACATTCACGTAACATTACAGTTAGGACAGCACGGTGGCGCAACTGGTAGAGCTGCTGCCTCTCAGCGAGCAGGTCCCCGGTTCAAATTCCAGTCCAGGGGAAAGCAGCTTGAGCAGGGAGGCCCAGACATCTCTTTCCACAGCCACCTTTTTTAGCTCTTCTGGGAAGATTACACAGCATTCCCAGGCCAACCAAGCGACATAGTATTTCTACCATGTCCTAGGTCTTCCCCGGGGTCTCCTATCAGTCGAACATGCCCAATGCACCTCTCTGGGGAGGTGCCCAGATAGCATCCTTACCAGATGCCCAAACCACCTCAAATGGCTCCTCTCATTGTGGAAGAGCAGTGGTTCTACTCCGAGTCTTTCCTGGACAACCGAACCTCTCACCCTGTCTCTAAGGGACAGTCCAGCTACCATGCAGAGGGACCTTATTTCAACCACCTGTATCTGTGATCTTATTCTTTCGGTCACTACTCAGAGTTCGTGGCTAAAGGTGAGGGTAGAAACGTAGACCAACCATTAAACAGAGAGCTTTGACTTACAGCTCAGCTCTTACATCACCACAATGGACTGGTACATAGTCCCCAATACTGTAGATGCTGCACCAATCTTTCTGTCAATATCACACTTTATTCTTCCCTCACTAGTGAACAAAACCCCAAGATACTTGAACTCCTCAACTTGAGGCAGAATCTCGCCCTTGATCCAAAAATAGTAATCCATGCTTTTCCGACTGAGGTCCATTGCCTCAAATTTGGAGGTGTTGATTCTCATCCCAGCCACTTTACACTCGGCTGCAAACTGCTCCAATGAGAGCTGAAGATCATGGCATGATGACGCCAGTAGGACCACATCATCTGCAAAGAGCAGAGATGGAATCCTGAGGCCACTGAACTGGAATCCCTCTGCCCCCTGGCTGCAATGAGAAATTCTGTCCATAAAATTTATGAACAGAATCGTGACAACAGGCAGCCCTGGCAGAGTATAACTCCCACCCTGAAGGGGTCCAACTTACTACCGGCAATGCGAACCAAACTCTCGCACTGCTTATATAGGGACTGAACAGCCCGTAACAACAGGCCCCCAATCCCATACTCACGGAGAACTCCCCACAGTGTACCCCAAGGAACACAGTCGAACGCCTTCTTCAAGTCCACAAAACACATATTGATTGGATGGGCAAATTCCCATGAACCTTCAAGGATCCTAATGAGGGTAAAGAACTGGTTTAGTGTTCCACGGCCAGGACAGAATCTGCATTATTCCTCCTGGATCTGAGGTTTGACCAATGATCAGACACGCTTCTCTAGTACCCCTGAATGTGTGGCATGGAGGCTGCACAGCTGCAGAAAGAAAAGCTTTGCAGAGAGTGGTGAAGGCTGCACAGAAATCTGTCGGAATCAGCCTCCCCACCATCACAGACATCTACACCTCCAGATGCAGGAAGAGGGCCACCTGCATCATGAAGGACCCCACCCACCCAGCACACACACTTTTTGCCCCACTCCCCTCAGGAAGGAGGTTAAGGAGCATTAAGTGTAGAACCACTAGACTGAGGAACAGCTTCTACCCTGAGGCTGTTAGACTCATGAATCTCTAACTAGAATAATCACTGTGAAAAACCATATCATGTTGCTGCTGATCTGTTTCATGTTGCTGCTGATCTGTTTCAATGTTGATGTGTTCATGCGTGCACATCTGCTCACAGACTCATGTTCATGTTTGTGCTGATGTTCAATGTTTTATGTTATGAGTGCTTAGTGTATATTTAGTTGATGTTTTTCTTAGTTCATATCTTAGATGTTATTACTGTTTTTCTTATACATTTTATTGTTGGATGTAACTGGGACCCTGTGTACATAATTTCGTTCCACCACATGTACCACATGAGGTGCGAATGACAATAAAGAAACTCTGACTCTGACTCTGACTCTGAATAGACCTTACCAGGAGGCTAAGGAAAGTGATGCCCTTATAATTGGAGCACAATTGGTCTCCCTTTTTGAAGAGGGGAACCACCACCCCAGTTTGCCAATCCAGTAACACTGCCCCAATGTCCAAGCAATGATGCAAAGGCATGTCAACCAAGAGAGCCCCACAACATCCAGAGCTTTAAGGAAATCAGGGCAAATCTCATCCATACGCGGAGGCCTGCCACCATGGAGCTTTTTAACTACCTCAGTGACCTCAGCCACGGTTATGGACAGACCAACCCCGAAGTCTCCTGACTTAGCTTCTTCCAAGGAAGACATGCCAGTGGGATAGAGAAGGTCCAAGAAGTATTCTTTCCATCTCCCAGTGACTTCACTTGTTGAAGTCAACAGCACCCCATCTTTACTGAACATAGTGTTAGTAAAGAGCTGCTTTCCCCTCCTCAGCCACCTTATGGTTTGCCAGAATCTCCTTGGAGCCAACCAAGAGCCTCTATCCAAGGCCTTACCAAACTCATCTCACATTTGAGCTTTTGCCTCAGCCACAGCCAAGGCTGCAGACTTCTTGGCCCTCCAGTACTCCTCAGCTGCCTCCAGAGTCCCACCAGCCAACAAGTACCAATAGGACTCCTTCAGCTTGACAGCCTCCCTAACCCAGTGTGTCCACCACCGAATTCAAGGATGGCCACCACAAGAAGCACCTATAACATTGCAGCCACAGCTCAAGACAGCCACTTCAACAACTGAGGCGCGGAACATGGCCCACTCTGACTCAATGTCCCCCACCTCAGCTGGGATGTGGTTAAAGCTCTACCGCATAAAGTGTGAGTTGAAGATCTTTCTGACAGGTTCTTCTGCCAGGCATTCCCAGCAAACCCTCACTACATGTTTAGGTCTGCCAGGTCTGTCCGGCATCTTCCACCGCCATCTGATCCAACTCACTACAGGTGGTGATCAGTTGACAGCTCAGCTCCTCTCTTCATCCGAGTGTCCAAAACAAACGACCACACATCAGATGACACAACTACAAAGTCAATCATTGATCTACGACCTAGGACGTCCTGGTGCTAAGTGCACTTATGGCCACCCTTATGTTCGAACATGGTGTTTGTGATGGAAAAACTATGACTAGCACAGAAGATAGCCTAGCAACCACTACATGAAATGTATTTTCAAGAAAGGTTTCTTCACCAAATACAAGTCATGTTTTGACTGGGATTTAAGTTCTTAATCAAAATTAATTTGTAACATCTATTTAATGTCTAACAAGGTTAAGTCAAGTACTCTGGACAGATTCTTCTTGTTGAAATGTTTCGTCTTTTATTCAAAAGACTTTGTCAGATACCAAGACCTGCAACAAACAGTCTTATAAATAGCAACTTCTTATAGTGGATCAACCAGTTTGCTAGTGACAGCCAAAACTAGCTGTTCACATAAAAAAGAAGGACCATAAGCCTGAGAGAGGAGAGAAGGAAGCCATCTTTGTGAATAGACACCGCACATCATTAAACATGGGCGGAAGCCTCTGTGTCCAACTGTCCCCCTCTTATAACGCTGTTATTGCTAGTATCACTCAACCCTCTGTGAATAGCAAGCAGCCATCAGGATGCCAACGACCAATTGTTAGGCTTACTTAACTTTGTTAGATCTTTCTACCTGGATTATTGAGAATGCATCAGGATATTTATGTGTGTTTTCTGGGGTTTTCGTTGATATTCTGTTTCTCCTTTAAAATCAAACAACCATGAAGAAAATATAGGTTAATTTCTTGGCAAAACAAACAAAATTACAAAATTTGCAGGGAATTAAAAACACAGTTAACCCATTGTAATTATAATAATGTCTCATAAAACATTAATAAATTGTTTAATCCTTCATTAGGTTACAGAACATGTTTACAGAAATCCTCTTACTGCTCTGCAGACGGTCAGCCAGCTCCTCCTGCTTCATCCTCCTCAGGAAGTAAACTGTGATCTTCATAAATGATTCTCGGCTGCTCCTCTGCTCTTCATCCTCACCCTCCAACACCTCCTCATCCTCCCTCTGACTCTCTAAGCATTCTGGGTAATCTGGACTCAGAACCTTCTGGATCTTCTTCAGCTCGTTCATCACAAAAGTGACCATGTTGTCCTCCAGCAGCTGGAACAGAAAAATATCTGAATGACACATCAGACTGAAATCATGGAGCCAAACATCAGATCCATGTTGGACAGACTGACAGTCCACTGGTCTACATGTTGGACAGACT